TTACATCTCTCTTCCATACCTTTTTTTTTTTTTTTTTTTTATAAATTCAGTCTACCTACTCAAGTCTCTGAACCCTCCTCAAGTTACTGTTTGACTACTAATCTTCTGCTGGCCTCACTCACATGCCTAGAGTTTGCCTCCCTGAAACCTCCATGGTCAGGACTACAGTCTTCTCAAATACTGAGGCCAGCCATCACTGACCTGCACTTTCCATCCCAGAACCACAGCATTCTCCGGAAGACAAAGTACAGGCAAACCTGCTGGATTCTCTCTGGAGAAATGTATTTTCTTTAAACATATCCTTCGCTTCTTTTCTCTGTCATTGGAAGTAGATATAAGCTCTGTCTCCTTAGACCCTGGCTTGGCCACTGGGGTGGGCACTGTCCTCACTTCAACATAAGAAGATGGAAAGGAGCTGTAACCTCCCTATCTCTTCCACAGAAAGAACCTAAGATAAAAGCCTGTTCTGAGATCAGGACCTCACCATCCCTCCACATTCCAGGATCCCCAGGATCCCTCAGAGCCCTTTCCCAGATTGCTGACTCTGGCCGCCCCTGCCCTGCACTTACATGGGGAGTCTCTGCCCTGGGCTCCTGGGCTGCTCAGCACCATCAGCATCACCACCACAGCTGCTGCAGGGAGGCTTCTGGGGATCTGCAGCGCCATCTCACAGGAAAAGGTAATGGTGGTCCACACAGCTCACACCTGCTGTGCCCTCTTCAGAGAGTAAAAGTCTGTGGGTGCCTCTGTGCTTTCAGGGTTGGCCTTAGGAGAGGAGCCAATCAGCACTGGTGCTGAAGTGTCTCATTTGTGTCCAGGCAGACTTTGTTTAGGAAGGCTCTTGATTCTATGCCTAACCTGTGTCTTCATGAAACCGCACTGGGTGACCATTTGAGAATTTCATTGTCAGTTACGAAGCGTGCCTGCCTAAATATGAAGGCTGACTGTGTTGGGGTTTTAAAAAAACAGAAGAGTGATTCAAGGATAGACACAGTTGTGTTGCTCATTTAGAACCTATTCTTCCTAAACTTGAGGTTTTACTAGAAGAAAGTATGTGGGATCATGTACCAAGCAGGCAGAAAACTCTTCCCACAGAGGTTCACTGTGGTACATCAGACCCTGAGGAGCCTGGGGAGGTGGTGCAAGGAGCAGAGTTGTGTTTGAGAATTAACAAATGCCTGGGCCTCTTTTCTGTTGTTTTCTGTTTGGGGCCATTGTTTGCTTGTTTTAGAATTGGTTTCTTTTAGCCCAGGCTCTCCTGGAACTCACTGTGTAGCCCACACTGGCCTCAGGCTCTGAATACTGGGATTACAGTGCACACCAGGCCCAACTTCAACCTCTTCTTACTTCCAGGTTTCTCTAGGTAAAATATGGATCATGTTTCATGCATTTACACGTAGAAGTAGTAAGTCTTCATTAATACTGCAACCATCCCTCAATTGTCCTGTGTAACTATAATTAACAACCACAGCTAAAAGTACCAGGGCTTACAAACAGCCCTGCAGGCCCGTGGCTGAGATCTACCTCATTCACAATATTCACATGAAAGTATCTGACTTTCTCATAAGCTCTTCTGCTGTTTAAATCCTCCAAAACCATGAAATAGGTTCATCTGATTTTGATAAAAGCAAAACCCACAGCTTTCAGACGCAGTCACCTTGAGTTTCAAGGACAGGAAACAAGAGAAGCAGCAGCCCTGGGCAGCGGTGTTGTTGTGAGGAGACCCATGTGCACACGCATGTGGCACTGTGTCAGCCTCAGCACCGAAGCCTGAAGACAGAGCCGTCGGTGTGTGCAGTCAAAGAGTGTCTCACCCATCGTTCCTGGGGCCTATTTATAAAATTATAAGTCAACTGAAACAGTGTCTACAAACACTATCGATTCAACAAGACAATAATTATCTTTCCCCCTTTCTGTGCTTGTGTCTCTTCAGTTTGACTTTTTCTTTTTAAATGGGACAGGGTCCAAAAGCAAAATATAAAGAGTTTAATGGGGGAGAAAAGCAGAGAAGAAACAGCAAGAAGTTTCCTCTAGGGCTCATGACACCACAGAGCAATTCCAACATTTTGCATTAGGATGTGAGCACCTGACGGGCATGTGAGGCTGGGTACCTCCAATGGTGGTGCTCAGGAAGGGGTAACCTCACCCCCACCCCAGGGCCTCCCACAATAAGCTGAGGGTTCTGCCCACCCCTGCTCCTGTACAAAGGGGGAAAGTTCCCTCAGCTTTATCCACAGCCAAGGCTGTGTCAGACAGGGGGTTTCCAGCTCTCCCAGGCCTGTCACACAGACTTTTCAACTAGCAACAGGAGCATCATCAGACAACTCTTTTTCTGATTGGCTAAACTCGCATCAGCAAGGTGGTGCTTTGAGCTCCTGCCAGCTGCCTCCCCCTGTCCCCGCCTTCTCTGGAGTTCTCCCCAAGGGCCAATTCCTCCTGCATTACACATGACAGACACCCACTGTGGGCCTGGCCTGAGAGGAAGTCAATCCAAGCACCTCTGCCTGCCCACTGTTCCCTGAGCTTTCCCCTCACAGCTCGGTCTACAACCCCAGGAGCCTCCAAGTTAGGCCTTCTGTGTTCTCACTTCATAGGCAGCTTCATGAATTTTACTCAAGTGCCACATCTTCAGAGAGAGCTTGTGACAGTCCTAGTTAAATGTCACTTGGATCATGAAACGCTTCTTGCTTTTTTTTGACAGTGTTCCTCATGGGTTAAAGTTACAGGAGACGCCCTCAGCTCCATGAGTAGATGGTGAGACTCCAGGAAACAAGAAGAAATAGTCTCCTCTGGTCAGCATCCCCCGGAAATTGGTCAGTGAAGTTCAGTATGAAACCAAGATAAATTTATCACCAGAAGGGTCCCCCAAGGTTACTGTGTCAGGAATCAAGAAATGCACCTCGTGAAGCACCTGTGGGCGGTAGTAAAATAATACAGAGGGTGCTCCAGGGTATTGTTCTTCTTCAGTAAAAATATCTATCAGTGGGGCTGGAGAGATGGCTCGGTGGTTAAGAACACTGGCTGCTCTTCCAGAGGACCTGGGTTCAGCTCCCAGCACCCACATGATGGTTAACAACCAACCATCCATAACTCCAGTTCCAGGGTAATCCAACACCCTCTTCTGACCTCTGTGGGCATTG